TTGTCATTGTTGTGATTTGAATGATACAAAATACAAAACTCTTAAAATAGTGAGAACCCTCAATCAGTCCTTACTAAGCTACTATTTTTGTAGTGATACTTGGTCATTCTTCCTTTCTTTCATATATTTTACTCTTGGATTGTTATAATGCTATTTTTGAATGCGTGTGTGTGTGTGTGTGTGTGTGTGTGTGTGTGTGTGTGTGTGTGTGTGTTGTAAATATAACAGAACTGAATAGGTTATCTTCCATATCTGTTCAACTGTATTTATTCTAATACATTTTCAACTCCCATGGGAAAAGACCAAGACATTTCTTCATGTATTAACCTTTAATCTCACAATTTCTTTGCTAAAAACATACTTGATTCAAATAAAATATTTTGTCCTTTAATAACATCATGGTTTATATAGAAATCATCCCAGTTTATAACAAAGAATCAGAACTGTTGTCCAATGGCTACTTTTGTAAAAATAGATTCACTCAGCAGCTACCTTTTGTCAATGAGTCCATGCTTTATTTTTGTTGTTAGCTGAAAACTTTGTAAGTAAGTGTTCATTTCCACATACACTATTTCATCGAATGGTTACAAAGTTACCAGAGGCAGGGTTCATCTCTTCAATTGTATTCTTTCATTTAGATCAAAATTATATCAACTTTCTAGTAACTTTGGCAGTTTGTCAGTGTGTGTGTGTGTGTGTGTGTGTGTGTGTGTGTCCATGTATGTGTGCATGAGCATGCTTTTCCATGATGTAGGTGTGAAGGTCAGATGACAACTTGCAGGAGTCAGTTCTGCCTTCTACCAGGTGGGTTCTGAAGATCAAATTCAGGTTGTCGGGCTTCACAATAGGTGTCCTTACACTCTAAGCTATTTTAATGGACGTTGGGCAGCTATTTTTCTTATGTAAAATTACTTTTGCTTCTAGATCCTTTGTTCCCTGGAAAATAATGACTGTTAACGGGACAACCATTTTTCTAAATAGTTTAATTTTACTCTGTTAAGAAATATGTCAGCCAATGCCTACAAATATGTCTAAATTTTCTGAAATCTTTTCTTTCCTTGTGGTTTTGGGGATTATTTGAAGAAATTTTCTGCAGGTGATATGCTCCTACTGATCTGCAAATCATGTGTGCTTGCTTATAAGTTTATAATATGCTTACTAAGATTTTTTAAAAAACATTCTATATGACTAGTGCTTACTGGACGGAAATTTGAAATCATTGGATCAAAGACATAATAAAACACCATGAATAGTGCCCAGCAGTGGTAGCACACTTTTAGCTTTTAATCCCAGCACAGGAGAGGCAGAGGCAGGCATATCTCTGTTGAGTTCCAGATCAGCCTGGTAGACAAGAGCTAGTTCCAGGACAGGCTCCAGAGCTACACAGAGAAGCCCTGCCTCAGAAAAAAAAAAAGAGTCACAGTGAAGAGCCATTAATGGGATGCACATTTTGAAGAGATAGCTCTGATGACAAATGACGAAGTAGCTGTTC